TTAATTTCAAACTTAACAGCCCTTGTCCTGGAACCATTATTACACTGAATGCAAATCATTTTCTGGTCCTTTTGTTATCATGTTTCTGTGGACACTTGACTCTTGATGGAAAAATGCTAATCTTTGAGTGCATGTAAAGTTTTCTGAATAAATTATCCCACTGGATAAAAGTGATGTTGCGTTTTGGTGGTATAGCTGGGGGGCTTTGGCCAATCAGGATTAAATCTTCCAAACATGCAAGATTTATGTTAAACTTCTGACATTTGTACTGTTTCATAGATTCATAAAAATATGGCCAGTTCATCCCAGCCTGTGATTTATTTAGATTTTTTTTTCTATAATTGAATTTCCAATTACCTGCCAATGACAGGAAATATTGGGGAAATCAAACCACATTTAGTTTTCATAATCATATATTCTGACTAACTCAGACAAATACAGCCTGGGCAGATGTACAAAGACATAATGTGAATAGCTTTTGTGTGTGTGTGTGTGGGGGGGGGGGGGCTTTTTCTTTACTCCCTTCATATATATATATATATATATATATATATATATATCTTTGCCTGTTAATAGAAAGGTGATTTGTACTGCAACTATGACAGGCCCACCTCATTAATAGCAAAATGAAACAACAAAACCCTGACCCATCTTTTACTTGAATGTGGTGTTCAGGTACAAAATAAGGGTAATGCAATTTCTAAGTATGATTTTCAGATAATGTTAGGGTTAAAGTCTAGTTTTCACTGTTCTGACAAAAACGTGTTCTGAATAAACTGATTTTAGGTTGTTAATCCTGAGAATTTAGAAAAAAAAATAATTCAAATTTTTGGGAAATGCATAGTTTTGAGTAGATTTAAATATATATATATATATTTTCCAGGGGGCATGTCCCTCCCCTAGGACTGGTTCACTCCACAGCTGCTTGTTAACATGAATATGAGTCTCTCATTGATGTTGGTAGATGTTGGCAGGTGTTATGCAGACTTTGGAGATTCTGTTTCAAATTCAATATATGCGTGGCTGTTACCTGTTTTAGTTGGACAAAACTATTTTGTATGTAAATGCATGTAAGTAAGTAGTGAGATTTAGAAAATTGCACAAACGAAAATCTTCCCTCAGCCCCTGCTGGGGTCTAAGCACCTCTAAAGGTCAGATGCTTGAATCGCACCTGAGTGGTGGACAGTAAAACTTTCATTTTTACATGTTTTGTTGTTTAGTTTCAGTTGAAGCTATGCTGCAAAATCAACTTCTGTAAGGTGATTAGAGGCTTTTATTTAAATGTAAAAAAATCATTAAAATAATACAAAAAAGGAATTGTAAAACAAAAAGCAGTGAGAATGAGGGGGAGGGGAGTTTTTTTTCTGAATTGTGATCAGCTGAGATGCTATGGCAACTGGTCAAAAGTCCAGAGAAAAGGAATGCGTCTAATGAAATGTAACAATACACCCCCTACACACACGCACACACTCCTCACTCACACCTCCCTCTGTGTCCCACTGAATGAATGAGTACATTTTATAGTTGGGAGTTTCAAAGTGTGGCTGCAGCTTTGTTTAGACAGGTTTCAGATGTTTGGCTCATCGTGTTTATGTTGCACTGATTATTTTTTGGACACAAATTTGAGCAACTGAACAAATGTTATCACTTACACACTGTCTTCTGAGTGCTTCTCATGAGTGTGTATTTGTTTCCATCTCTCTCATGTTATAATTTTCTCAGGGATGCAGGAAATGACAACAGTTTTTGGATTTTAGTGAATCCACCCACTGGAAATAAAAATATATGAAATGACCACGGAAAAGGCAAGGCAAGATAGGGGGCCACCATTTTAGTAGGTGCTATGTGTATCCCCCTGTATATGTCAACAGTTCAATACCTAACAGAAAAATGATTTTTTTTTTCACTTAAACATATTTAATGTATGTATATCATGAGAACAGGGGACAAGAGTCGGTTGTAATTAGTGTCCCATGAAGGTTAGTTGCATCAAAATTCAGACATTACCATTTGCTGTAATTATTTTCACCAGACCAGTACATAATTTATTATTAATTATTATTACTTTTTCTGCTTGGCCTTCAGAGGAGCAGGCCATGGTTTCGCTCTCTCTGCTGCCACCCCCCCCCCCTCCCCCACTGCTTCACTGCTTTTTGCCTTTTCAAGCTTTTTTTACACCTATCATCTGAAACTAAAGGAATTAGGGATTTGGTCAACTGGTCTCTGAATGCAATTGACACTATTTTTTTCCACAATTGGAACGAGGGGAATGTAGCTGTCTGGGTGGAACGGTTGCTGCTGGACATGTCAGTGACTCCTGGGGCTGGAATCTGATATGCCAGCACCACTTTCCATTGAAGACGTGGAAGATCTATATATATTTGGATTTATGATAACTGGATTCCTGCTGATCGGTGGAGGAAGGTTCTAGATTTATAGAAAAGTGAAAGTAAACCTGACAGTGGTTCGGGCCTTTGAGAAGCTGTTGGGTGCACTTGAAGGATTCTGGCTGGTAGCACACAGACTCTACAGCTGGGGGAAATAAATTCACAAACTGGATGTAATTCTGACAAAGATCGCAGCTCAGGAGCAAGCCTCCAGCATGTAAGGATTGCATCTGGGTGACGCTTCAGATGGTGAGAGGCGAGGAAGACCCGAAATTCGGCTGATTGTTTTTTTTTCCACCTCTTCAGAGATGCAGTTAAGATATTTTAAAAGCAGCAGGAAATAGCCTATATGCCACGGTCATTAATGACGTATTTTTGGTAAAATTCTTGCCACGCTCCTCCCTTCCACTCCCTACTTACTGCCTATGTTTTTACTGTTAGCTGCTAGTACTAGTCTGTGAAAAAGTCACAAAAGTTGAAGCATCTGTGAGCTACTGGTATAAAATGTGAGTTCTGTTGTGTGCCGTTGTGTCCACTAAGCAGCAGATTCGATCGAGTAGTTAGTTTTTATCCATTTTCCTCTTGATGAGGAGGTGACAGCTGTGGATCATAGCATTACAGGCAAAACTTAACTTTAAAAGCTCACGCTTGCATTTGTAATCAGCATTTCTAACCTGAGGATATTCAAGAGCCAGCATCAGAAATGAGAAGATGGAGGTTACAAAAGAGAAATGTACATTTATCCCCTTTTACTGCCAAGACGAGAGAGGAAAGACCACCTCCACTCAACAGCTAGCAGGAAGCTAACATAGCAGCCGGTAAAGATAGGTGTATGTGCGCGTGCGCGTTTGTGTTATATGAAAAGTTTTTATGCAACTTTGTCATGAGTTTTATGCAAAAGTAAAAACTTGTTAGAGAGTATATTACAGAGTAGACCAAATCTGAGTGACGAGCGCCCCCCGTCACTCAGAAGTGAGTGATCATGTTCCTGGAAGGCCTACAGTTATCAAAAGTCTACAATAGTGGGTAAAGTATTAGTCTTGCCCAGATAGTTTGGGATTTTTAAACAGTTTTCTGACAGCATAGACATACACAATGTGCAAGACAGAAATTCTGTAAAGGCCACATTTTCAATTATTTATGAGCTAATATGGCATAATACTTACCAATGAAATGGAAAACCCCATTCTTTCATGTTTAGGTGCCTTGACTGAGTTTAGATCTGTTCTATTCTGTTTGTAATTATTCTGGCAGTATCTAAGTATACAAAGCAACCAGCAAGATGACAGATTGAATTCTCACCTCATTTTCATGAACTGTTCTATGGCTGACCATTCCAGTGTATTTCTATTTCAGAGTATTCATCATTCATTCAGTCAGTCTCATATTTGTAACCCTTGCAGTACCAGCAATGTATTACTGATAAAAAGATTTACAAATGTATACTAGCAGCTTGAATGCTTTTTGCCTTTAAGGTTCAAATGCTTACATCTTACGTCTCATTTAAAAAATAATTTTGAAAAAAATGAGTACACTAGAGTAGTATTTTTGTACCAATGTAAACAAATAAAACAAAACAAAAAAAATAATTATCAAGTTAGCATAAACATTTAAATGATTTGATAAAGCATACAAATGCTCAAATCCTAATTTGTACCATCAGTGCTTCCATGTGCATCTTACATAAATCAGCCATCAACCTCTATGTTTCCATCTAATTATGATGCTAATATCACCACTCCAAACAACGAAACAATCCACATGAGAAGAATAACATTGTCTTTTACAAAAGAGGGGAAGTATAGAGGTATTATTTAGGCTATAAAACTGCCAGGTGAGGGTGATGCCTACTGTGAGGTTGCACTGGCCTGCTAATGTGATCACCTGAATTATGCACAATCCATTGTGTCCAAATATCATAAATTGATGCATGACCACCCCCGCAACTCAGACATGGGTTGAAATTATTATTTATGTGGCTGTGGAGCAGCAGAGAGACAATTAGTCATATTCGTATGCTGGGATTAATCGAGAGAGTTGTGGGAGATAAAGACAGAGAACAAAGAAAGCTTTTTGTCACTTGTCTCCATCTGACAGAGATAATTAGATATATAAAATTGAAATTTCTCTCTGGGGGTCCTGTTGACAACATTTTTTTTTGTTTTGTTCCTCAAACCTTTTTCTTTTTGTTTCCCTTTATGCTAATTTGGACACTCTGTTTTTCCCTGACCGTTAAAAGCAGTGTCCTTTCCAGCCTTCTGATTTAATTCACAGTAGACAAAGAGCAGCTTGTCAGCCTGTTCACCCCCCTCCACCCCTTTTACCTGTGGCACAAGAATTTAATGAAAGAATAACATCTTTGTTAAGATCACTAAAATCAAATCAGTTTTATTTTCACATATCTTTGTATTCAAGGACATATTAAAGGAGCAGAAACTGAAGAAAATACATATATAAAAAATGTTTGTTCATGCAGCATATTATAACTGGCTCATAAGTTTAAACTTTGTGGGGAAACTTAGTAATTGCCACTTTGTTGTTACAGTTTTATTAAACTTGATTTATAATAAAAGACAATCAATATATCAACCAATAAATGTATTTTTTCTACAGGTAATGCCATTAAGAACTGGCTGGTGGTGAGTGGGCCACTCCTGACCTATGAGGGTGTATCTTTTGGCACATTTTGGTAAGGCTTTGTGAGTTCTTTAGTTTCATTAAAGCTGCAGTTTTTTATGTCAACTTTACATTTAAGGCTTTTGTCTTGTGTTTTTATTTCTAACTGTGAAATAAAAGTTTACTATCCTATTCCACCAATGTTCCAACTGGATTTACATTTTCACGCACCAACACATGCACACCCACCCCCATCCCTGAAGTTATTTTTCTCAAAGAACTGTCTTATTTTAGCTATATATTTTACTCAAAAAAGCTATCCACAATGCCTTCTAAGAAAATTGTCCACCGATTGAATTTTGTTGGCGAGCCCTGTTCTATTTTGTCATACTTATTACTCTAAATCAGTGGTCCCCAAACAACGGCCCGCGGGCCGGATCCGGCCCGCCTCCCCATTTGGTCCGGCCCCCAGAACAATACCAGAGAGCATTTAGTTTTTTTTTCATATATGTGTTATTATATTTGATTATAAAGTTGGACTTTTACAATAAAATGTTCCTTAGTAATGAACTATTTTCATTATTAACTATTATTAGTTAGTAACTATTTCATACATACACGCATATAACGTGACATTCTGTTCCACCCTTCTGCGGTCTGTGCCCCTATCTGGCAACCCCCAGAAAAAAATCCTAAACCCGCCCCTCTCAAAGAGAGAATGAAATAATGGCGAAAAGATTAGGTAAGAGAAAAATTGATTCAGAATGCAGGGCATTTAAGCTGCAGTGGACAAACGATTTTTTTTTTTTGTTCATCTGTCAAGAGGTGGTGGCGGTATTCAAAGAATACAATCTGCAGCGACACTATGAATCCCGTCACAAAGACAAGTATGATAGCTTGCAAGGCCAAATGTGAGCAAACAAACTCTCAAAGCTAAAAAGTGGACTGTTAGCTCAGCAGAAAACATACTGTGAAGAACCCAGAGAGGGTTATTTGATTGTGCTTTCTGGAAAACAATAAATTTTTACATTTAGGCACTCCTGCAATAGTTACACTTTTTCTGTTACAAACTGACTCCGGCCCCCCAGCAGAGAAGGGAAAAGTTATGAGGTCCTTACAGGAAAAAGTTTGGGGACCCCTGCTCTAAATCTTATTTTTTGTGCCCAAAGAATTCATTAACATAAACAATTAGCTATTTGTATGGTGTTGCACTTTTCAGAAAAAAGTGGTTCATCTTAAAATCCTATTTCATTTATTCATGTTAGAAATGATTAAAAATGCTTTATTTAATATTTTATCTTTACTGTGTACTATACCAGTTTTGTATCATGTGAACAACTATTCCTGCATGAAGGAAAAACATCTGATAAAAAATCTTTGTGGTTTTAATGGAATTATGGGTTATGTCACCTTTCACCACAGGACAAGCAGGGGCCTCTCAAGTTCTGCTCTCACATGAGAAACAACCACCATCATGTTTCTCACAAGTCAGGAAATGTGAAAAGTGGCATAACAACAGAGCAACATTGAAATATTTGAAATGACCTCAATATTTTTTTTTAGTTAGTGTTTTTTGCAGGATGGATGTTAGTCACAATACAGTTTCATAAAGACATATTTTTAAATCAATTCCATTATGAAAAATGCTAGATTTTTTGAATAATATTGTTTTTGTTAATACAATAATTTACATGTTTGTAGTTAAGTTAGATTTTCAACCTATCTCTCTGTTTTAAACCGTTAAAAGGATATCTATCTTATCCTTTCTTTTTATCCCTTCTATAAATATTTTCCACAAAATATTAGCTAAAGTTTAAGATACTGGCTTAACACAAAGACTTGTCCCACAGTGAAAAAACTTGAACAACAAACAAGAGGCAATTAAAAAGATGCGAAGATGAAGTGTAGTTGTTAGAAAGGGAAGGAAGTTAGAAAGTAGATATGAATTGAACCGGAAAAAGCCTTGTGTCTAATGTTTGCCACATTTGCTCTTGAATGAAGGTCTAATTACCCTTTGGTATTTGGTGCCAGTGTTCCCAGGTCCCAGCAGCCCCTGGGCCTGAGCAGGCAATGAGCGTCCAGAGCCAGCTGCCTCCCAAACACTTGCAGGTATACATGCTGGACTAATTGTTCTACCACAAGGGAGACAGATGAAAGAGCAGGAAACTGTTGCCAGAAGTCCAGAAAGGATTAATGTAATGACAGAAGAGAGACATGGGCATGTGTTAGGGGCTGATCAAATGTACTGTAAGTTTTCATACACATTAACGCTTGATGAGTCAATCTTACAATCCTTACAACCTAAATGATAAGCATAATATAAAGTTGACAGAAACATTGTACATTACGTTAAATGCATGTAACTTCTTGTAAGGGTGTACATCATATGTTGTACAGTACGGCCATATGCAGCTCACATAAAATATATATATCGTGTTGAATTTTAAGTGTCCATTGTTACTTGATTGTGATCTTGTGTCATTTATGATAAAAGTGACACATTTTTCCTTCGAATCAGCAATATATGGTATTTTTTTCCTCATCCTCAGCAATAAGCTTTGCTAGCTGTCAGAGACAACTAAGTCTGTCCAAGTTTCTCTGGGTGTACCTGTGCACCCATCTGTCACCTGGGTGACGTGTCTTTTTCCTCTGTCTTGCCTTTTTGATGCGTGCTGCCCTGCTGTCTGAACCAGACTGGGCCCGGCTACCCAACAAACATTCCTCTGCAAGTAATCAATTATATTTTGGATGAAGACAGTCAGAGGACTGCCTTCGTCCAAAATATAAATAAACAAACTAATTTGTAGTGATTACACTGATAAATTTGTTTGTTGGCTGTATATCAGCAATATAAAGCAGCAACTTAAATTACCAAAGGTTGTTAATAAATATTATACAGAATACAACAGTTGCTATGAATAAATCCTACAATAGATATACATTTAGAAAGTTACTAGAGGTTTCAAGAAATAAAGCACAAATACTTTGTTTCTTTACTTAAGCAGAAATTTTGATTGCTGGAGTAATTATTTTTCTGATTATTTTTTACTCCTTAGATTTTCCTACAATTACCTGTGTTTTGCCCTACTTACATTTCAAAATAAGGGGTTGGGTGCATTGTGTGTTGAGCAGTGGTCAAAGGTGAGGACCTTGGTGGTCTGATCCTTGGCTACAGAAGCTGGTTCTATAGGGACGTGGAAGATCACCTCTCTGGTGGGGAAGGAGCCTGAGCTGGTGTGTGAGGTTAAGAGGTTCCGACTAGATATAGTCGGACTCACCTCAAAACACCGGTTTGGCTCTGGAACCAGTCTCCTCGAGAGGGGTTGGACACTCTTCCACTCTGGAGTTGCCCATGGTGAAAGGCGCCAAGCAGGAGTGGGCATACTTTTTGCCCCCCATCTCGGTGCCTGTACGTTGGGGTTCATCCCGGTGAACGAGAGGGTAGCCTCCCTCCACATATGTGTGGGGGGATGGGTCCTGACTGTTGTTTGTGCCTATGCTCCTAACAGCAGCTCAGATTACCCACCCTCTTTTGGAGTCCTTGGAGGGGGTGTTGGAGAGCACTCCTAATGGGGATTCCCTCGTTCTGCTGGGGGACTTCAACGTTCACGTGGGTAATGACAGTGAGACCCGGAGAGGCGTGGTTGGGAGGAAGCCCCCCCCCCCCCCCCTTAAACCAAAAAAAAAAAAAAACAAAAAGAACCCGAGCTGTGTTTTGTTGTTAGACTTCTGTGCTTGTCATGGATTGTCCATATGTGCGCTTGGCACCGGGACACCCTAAGGCCGCAGTTCGATGATTGACTTTATTGTTGTTCCATCTCATATGCACCTGCATGTCTTGGAAACTCGGGTGAAGAGAGAGGCAGAGCTGTAAACTGACCACTAGTGACCTGGTGGTGAGTTGACTCCATTGGTGGGGGAGGATGCTGGTAAGACCTGGCAGACCCAAACTTATAGAGAGGGTCTGCAGGTAATGTCTGGCAGAGTCTCCCGTCAGAGAGAGCTTCAACTCACACCTCCGGGAGAACTTTGAACATAGTCTGGGGGAGGTAGGGGACATCGAGTTCGAGTGGGCCATGTTCCGTACCTCCATTGTTGAAGCATCTTACCTGAGCTGTGGCTGTAAGGTTGTTGGTGCCTGTCATGGCGGCAACCCTCGAACCCGTTGGTGGAAACTGGTTGCGAGAGATTCTGTTAGGCAGAAGAAGGAGTCCTATCGGGTATTTTTGGCCTGTGGGACTCTGGAATAAGTCGATAGGTATCGGCAATCCAAGCAGATTGCAGCTCGGGTGGTTGCTGAGGGAAAACTCAGGCATGGGAGGAGTTTGGAGACGAGATGGAAAATGACTTCTGCACGGCTTCGAGGCGATTCTGGTCCACCATCCAGCATCTCGGGGGTGGGGTGGGGGCTCGCCACCAACACTGTTTATGGTGGGATTGTGCGCTGCTGACCTCAACTTGGGACGTTGTGGGTCAGTGGGCAGAATTGTTCCAAGACCTCCTCAATCTTACAGACATGTCTTCCCATGAGGAATCAGAGCCTGAGGACCCTGGGTTGGACTGTCCAATCTCTAGTACCAAGTTCACTGAGGTGGTTAGAAAGCTCCTCGGTGGCAAGGCGCCAGGGGTGGATGAGATTTGCCCGGAGTTCCTTAGGGCTCTGGATGTTGAGGGGTTGCGTTTGTTGATGCGACTGTACAATATCACGTGGACATTGGTGGCAGTTCCCCTGGAATGGCAGACTGAGGTGGTGGTCCCCCTATTTAAAAAGGGGGACCGCAGAGTGTGTACCAACCATAGGGGGATCACACTTCTGAGCCTCCCTGATAAGGTCTATTTAGGGGTGCTGGTGAGGAGGGTCCATTGGAGAGTCGAAACTCGGATTCAGGAAGAGCAGTATGGTTTTGGTCCTGGTCATGGAACACCGGACCAGCTCTACACCCGCAGCAGGGTCCTGGAGGGTGCATGGGAGCTTGCCCAACCAGTCTACATGTGTTTTGTGGACTTAGAGATGGCGTTCGACGGTGTCCCTCTGGGACTCCTGTGGGGGGTACTCAGGGAGTATGGGGTACC